TGTATTTTCTCTTGAAAGAAAAGTTGAAGAGCAATTTAAAACAAAATAAACACAAAAGAAAACAAAACCTACTTTAACTGTGTAGAACTTAAAAATACTCTTAAGAGGGAGATTTATTCAATTGCAACAATCACCCGCAGCAACAGATCCAGTCTTAGGTTATCTTAGGTTAACTGAGATGTGCCACTCAGATAAGATACATCGCTAGAATTTTGTTCTAGCCTGCTCACAAGCTTTCTCAGGGAATAAAAGGCTCGCTGTAGAAATGTGAATGCTGTATTTTAGAGAATTTCTCCTCTTTCCCATTCCTACAACCATATTACTGTGCAGAATAAAAATAAATCTGAACAAGGCTTTTATGAGTAATGAATGATCAAAAAGCTCAGCAGAGCAGAAATAGAGCCTGAGATCATGGAAGCAAAGTTCAGTACTGCACAGATGAAGTCTTACACTTGCTCCTTCTTAAGTAAAAATATTTTATTTCAACCTTTCAATCACCTGTCCTATTTATAGCAAACTAAGCTTTCTCTAACAGCCAACAACGTTTTTGATTAGTTAAGCTTATTGCTGCTTTTTTCCCAGCTTTAATTTCCATTCACTTCTTAATGGGAACTGCAGAATGTTAAATGCAAAATCTCCACTAACTTCAGCGAAGCCAAGATTTTACCCAGCTTCATGTGGCAGTCCAAGTGAGCACAGAAATGTTACACTTACCACTGAAAGGCATGTTTCTTTTGCATTAAGGCAATTCAGTTAAATGGATGTGATGTCAGACCTAAAGGCAGAATCTCTACTTCCACATCTCTAAGGATGTTCCTGTATGGACCTCTGCCATATAGCTCTAGAGTCATTATTAAAAGTCCATTGGAAACAATGGAAAATCTCCTGTAACTTCAAGGGACTTTGGACCATGCTCTGTTTTTTTTTTTTTTTTTTTTTTTTTAAAAAAAGGGGGCTTCCCACAAAAACGGAAGGGACCTCTAGAGATCATCTAGTCTAAATCCCTGCTCAAGCAGAGATCCCTAGATATAAAGAAACTAGAGTTATGCAGAACTGAGAGTTTCTGTGGATTCTCCACTTGCAGACTACAGATGGTGAAAACAAGGAAAGTAAATAATGATTTAATCGGGTGCTCACTGCATGCCCGTTCAAGAGACCAAAGGGACAAGATGTGCTTTCTTATGCCATTTGTGTTCATATCAACAGAGCGCATGAGAGAAGAAAACTGCTGTTCCTCAGTAGTGACATTTACTTTTCTGTGAAAAGAGATGGAAAGTGAGCAGGCAGGGGCAAGACATATTGACAGTGCCCCTTTAGCCTGCACCAACCAACAAAGAAAAGCTAAAGGCCAAATGAATAGTATAGATTATTTCTTCCTTAAAAGTGTGACACAGGGAAGAGAGTGCCCTGGCAATGAAAATCACGGCATTTTTCTGCTCTTCACCCATAGCAATGCAGCCCAGTACTTCCCTTGCTTGCATCAAAGCACACTTAGCTAGTGTGTTTAGCTAGGAACATGACCAAGAAGCAGGAGAGGAATCAATATTTTTTTAATCTCCTTTTTCCTTGCCTCTATTCAGACTGCTTGTCTTAAAAATGGCTGTCAAGTCTAAAAGAGAAAATGACAATCTGGTCTTGAAACATCTGCTACATGTGTGTGTCAGAGACCACACCACACAGCCACCACACAGAAGAATCCAGGGTAATTTCTCAACCTTTTGCAGTATTGATGCACCAAAGCTATCTGACTTTAAAAAAAATATATATTTTTTTGACAAATCTGGGGAGACAAACATGTCATCAAAAGAAAACAACTAATGTGAATACCAGTATAAAGATGGTATTCAAATCTACCCAGCACTATCACTGCTCTGGTGACCTGAGAGTCTCCATGTAACACAGACTTACCCCCAACACTGCCAGGAGAGCAGCAGTGGAGACAGAGTTAGTAGCCTCAGTTATGAAGATTTCCTCAGCGCACCCTCCAGCTCGTGTGAGCAAGGAACAGAGCAAGGAACATGCTGGAGGCAGTATCTCATTTAGACTGCAGCATTAGAAGATCCTTGAAATTTAGAGGGTCTTATTACTCATGTGTATTACTCAAAAGTAAGCTTTTTTCCTTTCTAGTAGAGTTTGATAAGTATACTTTTTGTATTTTTAATGGAGTTTTGTAAGTATACTGATGAGGTTGCCAGAACTACAGAACTTGTTTTGAGAGACCTAGCTAGCAGATTCCTTCAAGCATTATGTCTTTGAACCCACCTGAGCCTACCTTCAGAGGAATTACATACCTAAGCACCTCTGTGCGCCCAAGTCAAGAACTAGATGCCAACAGCAGTCACAAAAACCCACATAGCTACAGCTCAACCTTGCAGGCAAGTAATTGACCTGATGGTAGCCTACTGCACACAGAACCCACACCAGAGAACTTATAAAGTGATGTTCTCCTGCTTAGCTGTTCTGCAAGACACTGCCATACTTCCACATATTCAGTTTCATAGAAAAGAAACAAAATTTTTGGTGAAACTTGGGTGCACTTCTGGAACATAGGAAACTTGAATTTATTTTTTTCCCACCTCCTATGCATCTTGACAGATGTGTCTTTAGCTACTACTTAACTTTGAGAAAAATAGCCTTTCTCTTCCTCCAGCTTTCTTAACATCCTACTCAGCTTACTGATTGCTGTAAATCCTACTGAAGTGTGAGGAAATGTCTCTCCTCTATAACGCACGGAAAGACAGAGTCACTTACGCGGTGTCGTTAGTTTTATGAGGTAGCAAGATGCCTGGCAGTTAGCACCGTGGCACTGCTTTGCTCCTGTGAATCCAGCTCGTGTGCTTCTGTGGAGCAAGATACTTCAGTTCGGATATGAAGAGGGAATTCAGTTACAGATAATTTTCAGAGTTTTATGGGTTGTGCATTAATCATTAGCAGGGTCATGTCAGAATTATGTCTGTGATGGTGCAGAAAAGCTTCTTAGCTCAAGAGCAAGTCAAGGAAACACATTTTACTATTTTCAGGGTTGATGTGATTTCAGGAGCTGCCGAGTCACCTTTACAGTGTGTGCAATCCAAACCAATGAGCCATTTCAGACCCAAATTAGCTTCCCAGGACCTGATGTGGCAGCCTCATGGCAAGCTTCCCGAGCAGGGAATGCTAGGGAATAAGGAAGTCACTGGGATGCCACAGGCCCCTTCGGTATGTCTGCAATGCGGAATTAAAAGAGTGCCATTACTTGACCATTTCACTGCTGTTAGAATAGCCCCAGCATGTGTTTTGCCCAGGACAGCAAGCACTCTTCCAACCGAAGCTCACACATGGTTTGGATGCTGGCACAGGCCAGCACCAGTTGGCCTGCATGCAGCTACTGTGCTGTGCAGGCTAAGAAAACTTAGTATTAATAACATCCCAGAAAGAGCCTTGTAACTTCAGCTTGGTTTTGACCTGGACTTAAGCTCACTCCCTTCAGCCACTGCTTCTGCACTGTGATCTAAAACAGGGGACTGTCCATCTGTGTATTCTCTCCTGCTGCAGTCCTGTGCTCAAACTAACACGTCCTCAGAGTTTGGTAAAACAATGATCTATTGATTCTTCAGTAGTCAGACCAAATTTGATGATCTACCAGTGAGTCGAGCTGTAGCCAGGTTGCCTCCTTAGAGGTGGGTCGCTGTACTTTACTCAACAGCATTACAAGGAGCAAGCATTCTGAGCACAGGACCAAGAGCTCTCTGTGTGCTCGGGTGCTACTCTGGTTCTTTTAAGCGTGCCTGGTACCCAGGCCAGCAGCTGTTGCACTGGAATAGCTTAGTAAGGGTTGGAACCAGCCCCTATCCACTCGGTTCTGTGCTGAAACAGATTTAACACCAGTGCTGGACACATGATGGCTTTCATTTGTTAATCAAATAGACTGCCCTAATATATAAATAGACAGTGTTTATGTAGATATGTATGCACATACATGTATATGAAGATATACAGCCCACATATATGATTTTAAATGTGAATTAGACAAAACTCTTATAAAAGAACATCATCTTTCAACCACCACCTCATACGAGAAAAAACATTTTGTGCATTAGTTTCATTTGTTTAGACAGCAGAAATAAAGCTGTATAGTAGAACTACAGACCAAGATCAGTTGGTCCAGCATTTCATATCCACCATTTCAGTGGATATCATGTCTGTGATACAGCATTCCTTAAGATAGGTTGCTTTTTCCACCATTTCTTTTTGTACTTAGAGGAATGCTATCCTGAAAAGTACTTGATCTGATTAAGTCATGTTCAATGAGTTTATACATGCCATTATATCTTATTAGTGCATAACAAATGAAGTACAAAAATACCAGCTATTCACCTACAGAAATAGTATATCATTAGAAATTAGAACACTCGCTACAGCTGCAAACTTGTTATTGTTGCTATGGGTGGGGAAGAAAATAAACACTGAAATGACTTCGCAGGATCCAACGCCCCTGTTTGGTTAGGGTCATGTGAACACTCCTGGAGAACGGTCATACATCTCATCTGAACCACGCTCAGTGCTCATTCTCAAAATGTTTTCTGTAGCTGTTCCTTCCTTGTAAGCTGATCTTGCCTTCTGCTTCCTCAGTACAGAACAGTCATTAAGAAAAGCAACTTTGCTCCCTGGGTAACAGATTATAATGATTTCATTTAACCAAGCAGCATTGTCCCTGAAGAGGTGAAAGAGTTCTTTAACTCGGCCCACCTTGTCAGAGTTTTGTTTTGTTTGGGTTGAAGAGTTACCAACTGCAACGCACTGGGAAACAAGAGATAAAATTAACTCAGCAGTTCTCCACATGATATTCTGCTTCTTCAGACAGCCATCCTTCTTGCTGGGTCTCTCCTTCACTTGTTCTATTTACTTCTCGGGTTCAAAGTCTTCAACTCCTTGCCCATTTTTTTTAATCATGCATCACTTGGCTGACTTCTTGCACCTCCAGCCTTTGTTGTTTTCAGTCTTTAATGATGATCTTTTCGTTAAGAGCTCACCAAAGTGTAGATCATGCTGAATGTAAAAGAAAGACACAATATAAAAGAATCCTTTTGAGGTATACAGAGCACTTTGATTTTTATAATCCTTTACTGTCTGTTCCTCAGGCTGACTGTAATGGCCTCTGCTTTCCTTTGCTCTATTGCTTCATATTCCTCCCATTTCTCTAAAGCATCTTAATTATGGTGGATTCAAGACGGGTATCAGAAAGCACTCAAGCAATAACAAATTCATTAACGATATCCTACTGCACCTCAAGCTGTGTTTGAGCTTATTAAAGTGTGGTCTGATACTGAATTTTAAAAGTGAAGAAACAAAACCATTCTGCTTTAGTGTGTTTGATCTCTGGAACTTCAACCAGCAACTCTCTGCAGGGTCTGCAATGAAACTGTTCTGTTTCCTTTGGAAAAAACTCCATGCAGTGGAAGAAATATAAAATACAGAGATCAGCTGCAGTGAATCCATACATGTTAACTGCAGCTCTGAAGAGTGAAGAAATCTCAGCATATTGTCACTGCCCCTTTTTGCTGTAATTCTATTTCTGACAATATCCAGGAAAGTACAGCAAAAGTGAATATGATCCACATTATTTTATTTAGAACCAGACAGTGGATTTTAGCTTGTGGCCACATTTTGAAATGAAGGAAGGGAGGACATAGAGGAGGCTGCACAACAGCAGAGCCCCTGTTGAAATGCGAAACCACACGACACAGGTGACTTGGCAGGTCCTGTCACCCAACACAAAAATGTGGGGCTGAGAATGCTTCTTCCTTCCCCCATGCCTTGTGATGATCCCTCCTTACTCTAACCAGCGGAGCTGCTCTAGCAAAACTCCCATGCTCCTCACTTTGCCCCCTGGCCTCTGCCATCCCAGTGCAAGTTCAGTATCTTCCAGACTCTGCGTATCTGGGCTCTTCTTTCTTTCTCCTTCTGCATATGCAAATTCAGGGACATGCACATGTGGCCAGAAAAAAAACTGTGCTAAATGTTATTTAAACATAAACCTGTGAAACATCAATCTGCAGCAGTGACTTCCCAAGGTAAGATGCTGACTGACAATAGAACAAATAACAGGCTAGTGATCAAAGGAGAAGCAATGTTTATCCTCTTCCACCAGCACGGAACCCTGCTCTACAAAAAAATTACAGCATGAAAGACTTCTTGGAAGATGTGGTCAATGCAAATACACTATGGGGAAAGGAGTAGGAGAATGGTGTCATTAAAAAAAAAAAAAACGCACTTCAATTTAAAGATCAAAGTCAAGTTCTTGTCAAGTAGTTTTATGGTATAATTATGGAGGCCACTAAAAGTGCAGAGATTCTGACAAGGTTTTGCCTTAGACTCGATCCCTATATATTCTTGCATCTGATATTTGCAACTGTGCATTAAAGACCCCTGACAGCTAACGGGGTTGCAGGAGGGGAGTGGGCAGGGACAGTTTGACTGGGGTGCAGACCTCCAAGAACCAACCTGAAGTGCAGTTCTGCAGCACCCATTATAACCACGTCTATCACAAAAAGGCTGTTGTAGGAATGACTACACGCACAGTGCACCCCGTGTCCCACATGCCACCCTGAGCACTGCCGGGCGCTGCCTGCACGCGTGGCCAGCTCAGCACGTGCCAGACTCCCCGCCTGGCAGCAGGGTATGCTCCCTGCTGCACCCGAATGGCCTCTGCTCGCGGCAGAGGTGAGCTGGTTTTCAGGGACTGCGTTCAGGTGGGCTTACGGAGGACTCCGGGAAACACCCTGGCCCATAACATAGCAAGCCATATGCTCCCAAGGCCTGCCAGCTCACAGATCACCATTTTGATATAATGCCACTGTCCTAATGCCTGCTATGTCACCCATCCTAAAAGACTACGCAGAGGATCAGACAAACGTGTTTCCTCGGTTTGGCCCTGGCGCCTGGGTCAGGCCTTAGATAGGCACCTGGCAGAATGCCCGGAGGGGCTGGTGGATTTAGGTACATGCTACCTCAAATCAAGCTCAGGAGCAGTTTTGTAAAGCTAAGCAAATGGGCCTTTTTGCTTCAGTCATTTCTAACTGTCATTCCAGTCATTTCACACATCAGATGAAAAACAGACAGCATTTGTGTAGGAGAAAGACCAGACTTACCAGTAAAGATAGTAGAAGAAGGAAAGGAGATAGAAAGCTAGCTTACACCAGGCCTCTTTTTGACAGTAACTCAAGGTATCTGCATTCATGACTGCAGGTGGATCATATGCTAGTTCTGAACTATCTGCTGGGCAATGAAAATACCTGAAAAAGGAGAAGACATCTGAAATGGCCCTGGAATTCTATATTAAATATATATCCTCCTGCACTTGATTATCAGCTGAGCTCCGAAGACAACTTCCTTGCATATTATACCAGGAATCTTCCTCTCTCTGTCAAGCCTCTATTTCTGGACATTGTTAAAAAGACTGCTCTTAGAGGCCCAAGCAATTCATGCATACGGACTGGACCTTCTCTGTTCTACTAATTCTTCTGATTGACCCATCCCACCTTTCCATATAATTCTTTGCTGCTTTACTCTCTAATATCTTACATATTGTGAGTGACAATATGTGGTGGTCTGTGATCACAGCATACGGTTAGGATTCCTAAGCTGTAACTGCGCTACTACAATGGACTTCAGATGTGATGAAAGGTAACTGTCTCGACCAACTGGTAGCTCAGTTTCTCCAACTATAAAAGAAAGTAAGTAAAAAAGAGCTGGTTTCTACTTATAGCATTACTCTAAATAAAATAATCTAAATCATCTAAATAAATTTCATTGCTTTTTGTTCTGATTAAGAAGAAATTTTAATTATTCTCAGCAACAACTGGAGGTTTGATAAAATCTTGAAAAAACAAACTTTTGAAACAGCTTTTATCTCAATTATTTCGCAGTAAAACACACAAAAAAAGTCCTAATCAATTCTAATGAAATGCTTTAAGAATTTTAAGTATTTTAAATGCTTTTCGCATGACTCAAAGTACTTATTTCTCTTCCTTGAAAGTGGTAATGTAACTTTTAACAACTGCTGTGATTACTTAGATAGATGAGCAACTAGATAGATATTAGACTCTTAAATATCCCATACTCTTAAATAACCAGCAGTAAACTTTGAAACTAAGTGGTCTTCCCAGTTTCTTCTCTTCTATTATTAGTCACATTCACTTATATTCTCTATAATATTGCAAATTCTTTCACAGAGATCACAAACAAAATCTTTGCTTAATTATCTTCATTGGATGTAAATATTGTACAGTGTCTTTCTATGAGTTTGTGTGGAACTCTATATAAGGAGCTCAGGCATATCTGTGGTTAAAATAATAATAATTATGGAGTAATTAGGGCAGCCTATATGAGGACTCATGAAAATAAAGATGATTCAAAGTATATTCCTTCCAAAGGCGATACAACTATTTAGAGTCTCACCATTTTCAGCTTACACATAATACTATTTTTATTTTTTTATCTTTAGACCAATATTCTTGTCACAACTCTGTTCTGAGTCCTTAGCAAAACAGTACTAAAATATTACAATTTGTATTGCATCAAATCATCAGGGAGAAGAACACTAATATTTCACTCCATTTAGCTTCAGGGAGCTACACTGTTACCGTAACGTCTAGGTAATACACTGCTCTATATCACTTTTCATTCTTCTCAGCTACTGCAAAAAAAAGAAAGAAGTGTAAAAAAACCTATCACTCTTTAGTAGTTAGGTGCTAGTTGAGATGACAGAATAGTATTGCATTCGTTACAGAAATATCTTTCATACACTGCTCAAAGTAGCTCTCTGCTACCATATGTATCTTTGTAACACAGAGAAACCCTGACAGACAAAAATCATCTGTGCTTTTACAAATGCCGTGAGAAGGCAAAACTAGTGAAGGATTCCAGACTGACAAAACAAACAAACAAACAACCACCTTCTTCATTTTCTTGGGTGAAGACAGGAGTTCAACTCCTGCAGAATGAAATTCTCTACTGTCCAGGTATATAGAGCAACCATCTATTTTATACTGCCAAAAATGCATAAAGGTACTAAAGAAGATAAAACAAAAACCTGTCGAGTAAATACAACAACTCCAGTGGAAAGGCTTCTTGGCCAGGGCTGGACAAAAATATCTAAGGTCTTCAGCACATTGAATGTCTTGCAACTCTGTGTATGAGGTATTTGGTACTTCACTGAGTTCTTTTTCCAGACTACTTCATTCCAAGTTTTCATTCAGCTTGATTATGCTGTAATGATTGCATCCTGAAGCTCCTGAGAATATCTAATTATGTTAGTAACTGAAAGCCATATTTACACACACTCTGTGTTTTCTCCTTCCCTACCCTAAACATCCATGATTTTTTTTTCCCCTGGAAAGCTGCATCTCAGCTGCTTATGCAAATAGCTTCTGGGCAAAAGATATCCAGCTATCCTCCTACCGCTGCAGCTTGTACTTGAAGCAATTTGCATCTGCACCGAGCTGGCAAATAAAGGTAAACAAGCAGTAAGCACACAAGGACAGGCTTACCTCCAGAAGTGATAAAAAAGCAGAGGAACATTTAACCCCAGTGTGAGCCACTCCTGAGCACACAAAAACATTATGCAGAAAAGGCTGTGGATGGAGTACTCTGGCAACACCAGCTAAAAAGAAAGGAACAGAAGAAGGAACAGATGTCAATAAAACCTCTATGAGTTTAGCTGCTGAGCTAGTTTTTCAGCACACAAGCCATCTCGGCAAGTCTCCTAGGTGCGGCTAAGAGCAGGGAGCACACGGTGCAGAGCCAACGTGGCCGCACTTCTAATCCTGGCTCTACTCCAGTGGCTCATTGAGGGGCCTGGGACAAACCACTTACCTTCTCAGCTGGTGCTCCAGATTTCTGTCTGCAAAATGGGGGTTCTATTATTGTCTCCTGCACAGAAGTGCTGTGACACTAAAGGAGACTAAATGAGCTAAGTTTCATCACGGATAGATTTGAAGAGGAAATTATAAACCTAATATCGAAGGTTCACCTTCTATAAAGGAGTTTCCTACAATAAATAAAAGGCTACTTTCACCATTTTGGTATATTATATACATCCTAAAGAGACCAAATTTGTTAATAACTGTTTTAAAGTAAAACACACTAGGATGGACTGTTTTAACTAAACACACACATACTTCTTCCTTTGCCCTCATAATGGCTGCCCTCATAATGTTTTTCAGACAAGATTATTCTATTAAAAGAATTCAGACAAGAATTAAAAAAAATTCAGACAAGAATTAAAAAGAATTCAGACAAGATTATTCTATTAAAAGAAGCAAGTGGGCAGCTATCAGAAACTGAAAATTACATGATGTTAATTCAGAACAGTTATTTCTGAGGTCATTTTCCTTTTTTCCTGTTTCTTAGCGTCGTCTTTTTTTGAGGCCCTTTCTCAGAAACTCTGTTATCTTCATTCAAGTTATGCAAGAGATTAATCTCCAATATCTTATATTTCTCATGAACTACGCAGTCTCATACACTATTCACTTATATACCTTGCTGTGTCTTGGAGCCACAGGAAAGTAAAATAATATATAAATGAGTGGCATCTTTTAGTTTGAAATCATTTTATCATTTTCATTTGTCAAATAGTTAAAAAAAAAGAGCTCTAAAACAGTGAAAAATCCACTACAGTGTCTCCCATACAGCTATGCTATAATGGAGTCCAGTTTCCTGACTTTTTGGATTCTTTCCATCTCACATGGAACATATTTTGTTATTCATTTAACTTCAAGTAGTTAACACATTTGGACATCTCTTACTCTGTATCTACGCCTTCAACTTTAGCATCCACAAAAGCTTAGCTTGTATGGATGACAAATCACTGTAAAATTACACAGTTTGGATTCCAGATGGCAGTTATTTATCACTCCTTTTTTTTTTTAAAAAAAAAAAAAAAGTTTTAGAATGTGATACATAGCATAACTATACCCTTTCCCAAAATAATGATTTATCTTTGTCACAAATTGCAGAAAAGAAAGGTCTTAATGGTGGATGCCTACCCACTAAACACCCTTACACTTAAAACTTGAACATCCATTATTTGATGGAGTTGATTCCAGCTCAGGTGACCAACTTCACAAGAACACAACCCTGGTGCCCAACCAGCAGCCTTCCAACTTAACGTTTTCCACTGTATCCTTCCAACCCACTTTTTTTTAGGGAGAGAAGTTATATGACTTCCAAAATTTTCTCTGCAGGGCTGCCCTAGAGCTCAACACAATGCAATTAAAGGAAATGCACTGAATTTTTTTAGTGGAAATTTCCAGGTTCAATTTCACCTAATCTCCCCGTTAAAATCCATATTCATTTGGGTCTCTGGAAGCCGTTTCCTAATTGCTTACAGTCATTTCCTGAAAGTTCAGTTGCACAGTTTAAGGTTGTTATGAAACAAACCTATATCTAAGGTATTTTAGGTTATTCACACCTATGTGAACCCAAACATCAAGAAGTAACTAGGAACTTGCTAGATATATGTGACCACCTGCAAAGAAACTGGATGGAAAAAGTGGATCTCTGGCCATCAAAGCAACTGGAACAACCTGTAGCATAACGTATTTCTATAGCATAGAAATTGCCCTACATTTTCTCCAATGGAGGGCAATGCTGCAATGCATGCAAGACTGAGTCTCATCGAGTAAATGCAGAACACATATAAAAACCAAGTCTGCATATCATGGGCATCTTCTCCCTCCCCCTTCCCAGCCCGCAATGCAAAGCAACAGCACAAAGTCAACACTTTGTTGAGGGAATTTCATTATTCTAATGCGTTATTGAGACTTGTTCAACCAGTATCAAGTGCATATGAACATAAGTCATTCCACAGCACAGACAGCTGATAGTGAAACGAGGAACACAAAGGACCTAAGTATCATTCTCCCCAAGTAGTCCCTGTCCATCTATAACATGGTACCAGATCTAATATTAAAATGCAGGATTAAAATGCAGGCCAAACTGTGTTTGGGCCTATCATTTTACCTCTTAATGGTTTATTTTTATTCTCTGTAAAATGGGGATAATTATATTTAAAATCTATAGATTTTATTAGAGCTGTTAGTGGAATAAAAAGGCAAGGAATGTCTTTAAAATCTATCTATATCTACTGCTTTGGCTCTGCTAGTTTATGACTACAGTATTTAAGCCTTATCATAATACAAATAACTATTTGACAAGAGTGACAGAGGCAGATCTTGATAAATATTCCATAATGACCTGAACATCTACAAAGATTTCAGCATTACAGAGCTTATTGCAAGTTATGAAGTGGAATATGAAAAGCTTCTCCACTGTAAGGTCTGCAGGGATAGCTCAATTCAAAAACTGCCCAGTCCTTGGAAGATGTGCCATTAAAGACATGTGTGCTCTCATCTGGCAAGTGCACCTCCTTTGCCAGCTGCTCTTTTCTGCAGGGATCAGGAGATAACTTCACAACCTCTGTTGTGAAGACAACAAAGTGTGGTTTTGTTGTAGTTTTTATTTAAAAAAAAAAATCAGAAACTATAAATAAATAAATAAATAAAAGGTAACCAATAACAGAACCTGGCTTAACAACCCCAAAGGGCAAAAATCTCTAATTTTCACCACATTGATATAAAAGAGGGTAACAAAAATATTCAACTGACCCAGCTAAGGTCAGTTCAAGAGCCCCCTGAGGCCCTGCCTGTGTTCCCAGACCTGGGCAGAATGACAATTAGTGGCACAGCTGCTCATTAGGAACCAGAAAACCAGCACCTCATTTCACAGGCAGGTCTATGAGTGCAGAAATCTCAGTGATCATTAAAATTAAGTTGAGCCATCTGCACGGCCCATGAAGAGCCCTCCGGCCTTCTCCCTGGGGTCTGCCTTAGACAGACAGTTTCATAAATACTGCAAACTCCGTGCTCACTACAGGGCTGCTCCCCTATCACGAGTGCGAAGGCTGTCAGTCTGAGCAGGCACAAGATGCGTGTACAGCACAGACGTGGTAGAGACATTCCCTGCCCTGCTATTCCAACAGATCTACTGAAAACACCAGCATTTAAATGCAAAGTAGGATATCTATTCCCCAACACAAACAGTTTCCATCCATACATGAGGTATGGTGAAAAACCATTCTATTTTTAACTACGGTCTTGTTTATCTGTCTTTGCACAGAGGCTGCACAGGGCTGGATGTTGAGTCTGCTTAAATGCACCAAAAAAAAAAAAAAAGCCACATGAAACTTAACAGCAGTGTTCAAATTAATCCCAGTATATTTTATTACAATGCAAATATTTATTTTACTGCAAATACAACCTATCACTAAGTCAAATTTTGCCAATATCTTCACTAAAACTTTGAGGAGCAGATGCATGAATTTTGTTAACCAGGGCAGCTGGATCTCTACTTTCAGGAATACAGTAGAGGCAGCAGTTACTCACAGCATTTTTTGCTGCAACTTCAGTCCTATTATATTGTTTCTTGGCATATTCTGACACACTAAGCCCCTAAGCTTACTATGTTCCAGAACAGTAGCAGAAGAAGCCAAATTGTATGGCAATAGGTTGTGTACTACAGGGTCATACTTTGTTTGCCACTTTAATGATTGCATAGACATTTTAAAATGGAATTAAGGAGTGGTTTAGCCTAATATAATTTTATATGTAAATATTTTCTTGAGTAATAGTATTACAAATAACTGTGAACATCTCCCCTCAAAGGATACTTCAATTTCCATCATATATTGCACTGCCAAGTCTTACTTCCTCACTGGAGTAAAGGGGGCAGGAAGGACCAAACTGTGACTGAAACTAAAATTTGAGCTGTCCCTTCTTAGGCTTGCAATAGTTACACAACTTTTTCCCCTTGCAATCACTCCTGCTTTGAACATCGGCACAGGAACAGCAGGATACAGCTTTTCATTATCTTTAGTAGAGAAAACAGTCATCCTGATTTTTTTTTTAATACAGTGCTGGCACAAGGCACCTAAAAACCAATGTCACTAGTGAATAAATATCCTGCCTATAGGACTATACTTCCTCTAAGTTGCTAAGCCCTGCAAATTCCTTCTCCCCATTTTGAGGATGTCTTTCTTATTCTCTAAAGGTCTGGTAATTATTAGGGTACATTAGCCAACCTGGTGGCTTATCTGCTAATAAATTAAGTTTACTTAACTATATTATATGATAGAGCACAAAAACTGATCTATTTATTTATGATTTCAATTAAAAGAATAGTGAAGAAAAAAAAAAGGCTACTGGAACTATTATTTAACAGTCCTAAGAACAGGTGATTTTTTTCTAGCGCTTTAAGTTCTCCTAACTCTCTAATTGTCTGTATTCATTAGAATCTTGGTAAAACAGATCATAAAAGCCTTTAAGGACCGAATACCAAATAATTTCACTCCCAACAACTCTCAGTCAGATCGGAGTAATTTTCAATCATTATTGGACTGAATTTGAACAGTTGCTATAGAGATTAAAGATATATGCAATTATAAACTCAGCAAATCCTCAAACAGCTTCACTGGAAACCTCCGTGACAGAAGTAGGAGAACAGAGCAAGCTTTGATAACTCCCAGCTTTCCAGCTAGTGTTAAAACATACTTTGAAAGGATGAAAACAATTTTTAACACCCCAACTCCAGATGTACCCTCCTCTGTTGCTAGAACTGGAGTGCTGAACTGGCTGTAATTATGGACGTACAAAAAATGTTTGGGGGGTTGGGGCGGGGTGAGGTTGCTTATTTTTTATATTTTGGAAGAGAGTTCAAGTTCAGCTGGAACATCTTTGAGGTTAATGTCACCTTGCCTGCAGTTAGATTTCTTGCTGAATTTATTCTTTTCCAATCATCCCTTTAGGACTTGCAAAAAATCAAATAAAATCAAGATAAAGGGTTGAGCTCTGGCACTTTTTTTTTTTTTTTTAACCACTTGCGGTTTTATGAATTTTATGCTCAACCTAACTAAAATATTTCCACTGTAGTAGGTAAACAGACCAAAAAATATATATCTATCTTTTTACCTCAGTTGCCTCCCAGGTAAGCCAGTTTCAGTTTTCTCGTTCATAAATCACTCTTATTTGAACTTAATGAGCTTTAAAAACAAATATTTGCTGTGTTTTTGAGAACGGTCGCTTATACTTTTCAGCAGTGTTTGGCATGAGCAAACTAAACTCTGAAATGTTTGCTGGGAATTAAGCAAGTTCAATTAACTTTCCTCCCTAGACTATGGATTTGCCAACTGAAAGCAACAGCATCATGATGTTTGAATTTAGTCACAACCTAATCACAGCTCAATTTAAGTTTCCTCAGAGGTAAAGGAATAATATTACAGTGCTTGACTAAGTATATAGACCATATGTTAAGAAGGAAATTCGTCCTACTCCTGTACCTGCACGCAGCGCCACGTGGGCTCATCCTTGGAGAAGCAAAGGCAGGAGAGGGGGTGCGTGGAGTGAGCAGAGACCGCCAGAACTCAGTCCCAACCCAAGCTCTTTCCAAGATCTGTCACAGAAAAATAGTGGAGAAAAGGGAGCTCCTCCTTTGCCAGTGCTGTGACTTTGTCTACGTCTCTCTTTGTTCCGGGAAGTGCCCACTTTTACTGGGAATGGCAGTAGCATGTATTTTATGGATGAGTTGCTGGTAATTTAAGCAGCAGCTTTTACACTGTTCTTATGCTGGCCCAAACAGCAGAGCTGCAGGGCTGAAAGGTAGGAATCTGATGATAGTCCAGATAGAAATGCCACAGCAGTCACCAGTGCCAGCATGTGCCTCTCCTGCACCATGTCACATCTGTGCAACGCTCATCAATTCAAGCCATACGTGCACGCTCACAAATATATCCCCAAAAGCCCCCAAAGAAGCCACTGAATGAAATGAGATCTGTCTCCTGAAGGAACCCGGCATAATGCCACCTTCAGAAAAGAATTCCTTCCTGTTGTTTACATCAGGACCCAAGATATTTGTCCACGGCTATTCAAAATTCATAGCTTCTTTATAGACTCCTTCTCTAGTGACCAGAGAAGTTAGGCTTATCTAGTTCTATCACACTATACTTGTCCACACACCAGCACCACACATACCTGCTTTACACGCTCCCTTATTTGGTGCATTAATGATATAGAAATATTTTTCCCAAATCAAATGTCAGAAAGTTCCTGGCTGCAGAATGTCTTTCCAAAACCATGCCTTGTCAGTCTGCTTTTAAAACATTCTATGCTGAAACTGAATGTATTTTTATAGCCCATCTATAAACCTCTATATCCCTATAAATATATCCTATAAAGGGATAGATTCACTGTTTGCTGAAAATAAACAGCTCTTTCCTTCTGCCTATATAACAGACACTCAATATCTTCACTCTTTTTCCAACATTTTTGCCCTACAGTGTGTATCCTTTATACTATGTAAGCCACAGCTACTGTCACTGTCAGATTTGAATCACCATAGTTATTCCACCACCCTCTTCTTGTATCTCATCTCCCAGGTAAAATAAATGTGTCCCCAAAGAACTTTGAAGGTGAGGCTGAATTAGCAAACTCTTTATGTGAACCAGAAGCAGCCTAGTCCTTGATGTGCACAGAGTCTCTAAGTAGCCAAAATGCTCCATTTTGCTGTTCAGTGAGTCTGATGTTCTGTAGGAATTAAACGCTGATGCTGGCAAGGCATTCCCATGCGGTTCACATATTAACTCACTACCACCCACCAGTTGCTTTATGTCAAAGAAACTGGGACATAGCTTCAAACTGGCTGGGCGCCAGCTCCACAAAACAGAAAACAATTATTAAGTATTTTCTCTACTTTTCACATCCTTTGTGTCGTAAGCATGTTAAGAAAGTACTTGAAGGAGGTTCTTGACAGCCACATGTACACAGCAGTGCCAAACAGACAGGTCTCAAACCCTGATCCATACGAGAATGCCGCCTTAACAGATGCAGATGTGGCCGCAGCACATCTTTGGATCAACCTGAGCCAACCACCCTTGCTCTGGCTTTCCCAAAACGTCTCAGGATACAGCAATCAGTTACTGAAAAACATATTTGAACTTAGTTTCTACTTTCATTAAGATGCAATCTACAGTCTGTGCTTCAATGATGACCTTTTAAGGAAAAATGCAGAAAAAATTAGGTGGCCCATTGCTCTTCTGGTGAAAGCAATTCACAGAAACTTGGATATATGAAGTAGAATACTTTGGAATTACGGTTATTTTGACTTCAAAGACAGAGTCAAGATGACAGAATGCTTATGAAAACTCTCTTTCAAGCTGTAGAGGAAAGATCTAACATATGAATGTACTCTAAAATTTACCAGCTTCCTCAAACCCTGCAGAAACTGAGGTATTCAGCAACTCTCTTGGCTCAAGTCAAAATAAATATTCCCTCAACTTTTCAATGTAACCAGTTAAAAAACTCAAATACTAAACGTGATAAAATTGATAAAATGTTTCATTTATCAAATTGTAAGCCACTGTCCAGAAACCGTGTTTCTAACACCATTGTCATAGTGGTATCATCAGATGCCATAGCTATAAAAGCACCTGAAGCTGCAATTGCAAAGCAATTTGTTATCTCTGAAAAGCATGTTCCAAACGAAGGGACGGGTGTTCTGAGTTTCAGTTCTTACCTAGATATCTTGGATTACTTTAACCTCATATAATAGGTCTTACTCTATCTTTACAAAATCACCTTGATTTCCACTTCTGCAGTACAACTCAGCCTTTCATCCATGTGGCGAGAGAATTATGCAAAGAGAATGACTGCAGACCACCACTCAGTGGCTTTACTTTTCACAGGCTTCTCCAAACCTGGGCTAGTTTATGCTCACCTTTCGCAGGAGGAAACAAATACGCTCAATGTTTCTCAATCGCTCTCGCTGTCAAAAGAGGTGGGAAAAAGAGATTACATTAGCTGGTGTTATAAATTAAAACAGCATATTAAAATTATAGTGGGCCAAAAAATATAATTATTGGGTGCAAGGAAACAACATACATTATTAACTTATCCAGTAGTAGTCACTTCTTATCTACTGCTTGCAAGTCAACTTACTCATTTCAGTATTTTTAGCTGTTACTATATATAATTGGATAAAGTGGGGATTCAAGCCACAGCCAGCTTCCAGTTAGAGGCTGCCACTTCTCTGTACACCTTTTCGTAAAAAATATCTGTAAAGTTTAAGAAATGTGACTTTAAACAATGAATGCATTTATAAATACTGAAAGTCACTGTAATTGAGCAGATAGGACAGCAAACCGCCCTACGTTCCAACAGCGTAACCAACAATAGAATTTATCATAGGTCTCAGTGATGGCACGTGTGCAGAGCAGATCTGATTTTCTTGGTGAATTGCTCACTATAAGTCATTTAAAAGAAAACCTGTCTTGGTTTATTTTATTTCTGTGAATCTTGCTTAGAGCATCCTTGGAGTCAGACTCGTCAACTGTAACGACATTCAGTATTTACCTGCATTCCTGAGCCTTAATGCAGAACAGACCCAGTGCACTGCTCAGGAGCAGTGAGGCCATTTGAAACCAAAAGCAGTTTTACACTAAGTCAAAGCACCTGATTGCTGTGAATCTTAACATAAACTTATGACTGAGCAATGGTCCCCTCCAAACATGGAAAAAAACTATTCTAAACAGTTACCTTTTTTAAACAGATAATAGAATACACCAGTGTAAGGAGCAAATGCTCTTTAAGACTGTGCTCTTCAAACGCTTTAAAATTGTTCCAATTTTTGAGTTTTATTTTTGTTCTGCAAAGAAATACCTCTTTACTGCTCTCTTTCCCAAGCTTTACCATTTTAAAACAAAAGTTTGACAAAAATTTTGGCAAGACAGTGGCAGACTGATCTCTCTCTTTGATGTCCGTGATCTTAAAGAGCTTCAGAAATTTTAGATTCATGGCTGTAATCACGAGACCAGTAGTAGATGGACGTGCCTTGCACCTGCAGAAACCTTTCTTGCCTCCAGTGGGAGCTAAGTGCAGGTAGGAAGATTATCCTCTCAGTCTGCTCTAGTGGACAGATGCCTAATGGCAGCTGGGGAAAGTCCAAGTAACACAGTGTGAGTTAGGGGATTTGAATTCAGTTAACAGCTCTGACACCAAAATCTTTTGAATTCTCTCTAATTCAACCTCCTCCCGACAAAATACTCTTAAAAGCACAATGAAAAATGCATGAATGAATAACAGATTTCTTCACAGGGAATGAGATTACTGCTTGGTTTATTTCAGTATTGGCAGTAGAAACCTGATTCAGGTTGTAGTTAACCAAATCATTCTAAATTACATGTCATTTAAACAAGTAATTTTATAAGCTTAAATCTAGGTTGCAGTTTGGTCCATTAGATAAAACAAACTACTGTTGTAGGGCGCTATTCAACCTTTGTCACAAGAGATGCAACAGAATGTGTTATTCGCTCTTAAAATTGCAGCAGAACTTAGAGCCCTGCCATGAGACAGGGAGGCCTAGCAGAGCTCCTCTTATCAAGTCCTTGAAGCCTTTGGTCAATACACATGGCACTGGGGAACGTGCTCAGCCCACGCTTCAAGGCAGAGAAAGCAAATGATTTTAAAAAGAAAAATCGGTGTTATAAAATGAAATAATGGAAAAAAATAGTGTCATATCACAAGCCCTTCAAATCTTTGAACTTTCAGAGTACCTTCCTGTCTTTAGGAAAGAGAGCTATCAGCATAAAGAGCTGCCATCTGACTGCCTCAGAGAGGCCTGATAAATCAAATTTGCAAACCACAATCACATTCCCAGCAGCCTCTACATTCATTTCCATGCTCACAGTCCCACTGATAGCTCAGTGCACTGCTCGCTCTTTAGTCGTTATTGCTTAGCAAGCTCCTGGTTGTACTCACTGCGTGGACTGGGTTGCACTGATCTATTGGGCTTTTGAAGTCTGTCCGTAACTCATCAAAGGCGATTATCTGCAAAACAGTTTTTTCAAACATTGTAATTAATGCTTGTTTCAACACTTTTGTTTGTTTAGCTAGATTCTAGCCAGATTTATTTCCTCCCTCCCTTTCCAAGGCTTTCAATCACTGCAGACACCAGAATCCAACAGTGCTGCCTCTTGCAAAATGCATCTAACGCACCCTAGATGCTAGAAGACCCAAAATGCAAAGGCTGAGCTCCCAGAGCCTTTCTCTTCTTCAGACTGGGAAGCACAGAACAAATCAAATCTTCTGACTGAATATAAGGAACCAGCTCTTGTGAATATAGAAGTGCAACAACCATCCTATAAGATGCTACAGCATTCTTGCTTGCTTAGGTGTTCTAGAAATAAGAAACTGTGTTATCAATACAGATTTTGTGGTATATAATTAAAAATCACATGTGTTCTACAGATATGGAAGAACAGAAAGCCTGAAAATGACCTGCTCATGAGTCATATAACAACCTGTGATAGTAAAACCTGGAGCTACAATCCACTGATCTAACCACTACCCTGTACTCTAATACTGTAGTCATCATGCTGAAGCACATTTTAAATCAGAAAAGAGTGGAATTTTCTTAATAGCACACTGCAGAATTTAACTTCTTCAACTATGACAAACCACAGTTCCAGAAAAAAACTGCAGAGGGACCAAAGCACATGATTAAGTTAAACATTTCTCCCTCGAATGCTGTATCTGTACACGTTCTGCATCAGACGCTTAAACTACAGTGAAAGAGCAAGTAACAGACTGTGGTGGGGCTGCAATGATTGTGAAGAACTTGGTTCATATGAGAGAGACTGGCTTCATATACTAAGCATTTAATTTCTTTCTTTTTTTTTTTTTTAAACTGCCTTTCCAACTCTTTAGTCAAAAGTCTTATTCTTTGTTTGCTGGCATACAATTCACTTTGTTTTGCTTACATAATATCCACATTGATTGAAATTAATCTGACACATTTGAACAAATTGTTCTAATGGAAGCAACAAGTCTAAGCACGACGATCTCACAGATCTTCTGGGCTGTCTATAAATGAAGGCAGTATTAAGGTGCCAGTAAAAACACTGAGATTTGGTATCAAGCACACAGGGTTGGAGGGAAGTTCCTTCAACAGCATGGGAAGAAAGTTTCTTTTGCAACAGACTTTGGGAGGACACAGGCAGAAATAAACCCTCCCCAATTGTTAATATTCTAAATTCTATAATATAGTTTCTTAAATTCCCTGGAATGGAAATCCAGGGATCACATTAACACATCTGCACTTTTTTAAGACAAGCATATTTGCAATGAAAAGCTTTAATAACGGCCAGGCTCACAACTACTAGGAATACAAGGAAGCTTCCAAAGGTGTTTTTTGTTTTTGGGGTTTTTTTTTTAATTTCACAATTTTGGGTACACTAATTCTAGAACTTTGGATGAGAAGTGGCAGAAGGAAAGCTGTAGCTTTCTAAGATTGGAGGCTGCTCAGAATACAAAGTGATTTCACACTGAAAACAAGACCGCACGGTGCTGCAGAGCAGCCTGCAGAATTAATTGGGAAATGTCTTCAATTACCATCAGCACCATGTAGCAGTTCAGTGGTTGGGGGCACTTGGGGCTGGAGGCGCCATCTCCTCCTGAAGAAGCCAAGGACCTGACTGCTGGCCACGCTGCAGCCCACGCAGAGCTCCCGTGGGAGGCCGGGGCCCTGGCTCCCCTCCCAGGCGGTGCTCCAGCTGCACGCGGTGCCGCTCTCCATCCGCCGTGGAGCAGAGGTGCCCAGCACTTCGGAACAGCGCTCCAGGAGCTCAGGGTGCTGCCCATCTCGGGAGCTGTCACACTTGGCATCCTGACAAAGCAGTTCCTTGGAGACAAGAGCACTCCAGCATGTAGAATGCTGAACAGAGAAGGGGCCGCGGACTGAATACGCATCAGAGACTCATCCAGCTTTTGTTTTGGAAAGTTTTCCTTACGATTCCATGTTGCAGAACGATGCAGGGAGCTTGCAGTGCCACAGCCCAAGCTACATCTTTTCTGTTGACAGAAATAAGGAGTATCTGGGGGTGTTATTCACCTAATAAACTTGAAGGGTTATTGCACTGATTGCCTTCTCTGGTGATTCATCCATCTGCAAATCCCACCGCTCCACACGCAAGTCAGACGAGAGCTTGCCCCTGGCTGAACACTTGCACTGAGCAGAGGAGACTGGGATGACATCAACAGTTACAGAAGAGCAACGATTGCAAGGATTTTTGTAAAAGGCGTTTTCATCACCCCCACTCTCTACATACATCTCTCCACACAATAACAGCTGTGAATAATGAGGCTTTCATGTAGGACAGAACCTGAATTTTGTTTTCTTTCTATGCTTATAGATATATCTAGTTGAAAATTTCACCTCTAAATTGCAGGAATGAATCATGATCTCTCAATTTTAGAGAAGAATGTACAATTTTTTTCCTAATCACTGAGCATTTACAGAAGTTCTTACAGAGAGAGTCCTTAGAAAATATGTATTTGACTTGAAAATGTGAAGTTTTGGAGTAGTACTACTTATTGGTATCTCAGAAAAGATAAAACAGAACTTGATTACAACCACACTAAGCACCAAACAGACCAGCAACATCACAGACACTTCCATGTCATGACAAGGCCAGTGTACTACAGCTCTGTCTTAAAGAAATTATCTTTATGGCTCATTTAAACACACTTTGTCTAGCCCTCATCTTGGGTGTCAACCTGAAGCTGCCTATCTACATAAACAGATATGTAGAAAGGCAGACAGACTCACTCAGGGCACATTGCACTTGCACTGGCTCCACGCCTGCCCACCAGCTGCAGAGTAGATACATTGATCCTCTTCTCTCTGAACTGCCAAACCATCCAGCAAGTAATGTTGAATGTTTATCATGCATGAACCAGCTTCATACAAGCCCAGAGAATTACTTTGCTGGATTTTGTCAATCAGAGGTGGCAAGAAATCAAATATGAGGCAGGTGATCAACTGGAAAGCACTACAGAGAGATCTGAGTGGACATTAAGTAGCTGACTTCACATGACAGAGGATGGGAGAAATGCAGAGCAGTGTCACCCGGACGAAGTCGAGGAGAAAGATGCGAACAAAATCACTGGGGAAAAAAAAAATCCACCTGTGATACTGTGGAAGGCAATTTGGCTTACTTGGTTCACAAGCACAGGGAGGGGTCAAATGCTGGCTTCAAGAGGAAGCACCTTTTACTTGCCAGGGCTGGAGCCCTGGTTCATTACTCGGTTTTGGTAGGCGCTACCAAGCATCTCATGGGCTGCAGCTTTTAAGGCCAGCATATCACGAGCAGGCAGCTCAGAGAAAATGGTGTTCAGTTCCCATTTCTCATTGTATTGTAATAACTCAACATCTTACTGCAACTTCTGGATGGCCACTAGGCTGCACAGTAGAGCTTTCACTGTCCCGAGGGCAGAGGGGACAGACGTCAACTCCTGCTGCAAAGAATGGTCTGCTTGTGGTGCTATCCCTTACCTGCAGCCACTCAAGAAGGCGCAAAAAACCAAAGCACGACGGGCAGTGAGGGGAAAATATCCAGAAGAGGGTGTGTATACAGATAAAAAGCGCGCACATGCATCTTAGAAGTATCCTTTAACTATTACTTAAATAGTTAGAGTAAATAGTAAACCTCAGGGAAAGGATGCAGGCTCACGGTTAAGAGTACACACAAATCTTGTAGACTTCAGTACCAGCTCCCTGGAGAGGCATGTGATTCATGGATTAACTGCAACACTTCGTAACAGAGAGGTGGAGAATATGGCTGCTGCATTACCTGTATTATTCTGTATTCTGCTGCATTATTCTGTAAACAGTTTAGAGAAGGAAATGAAGAAGTACAATCCAAGTGCAGGACTGGCAGGTTTAATTCACTAGAAAATAGACTAAGTAGGCTGGAGTTTGACCAAAGCGTGGAAGTTAGAAAGCATACCTTTCAAGGACCATCTTAAGTCTATTTTAATGTGCTGTTTCCTGCAGAAAGGGATCAGATAAAAATGTGTTATCAGATTATATGATACAATATTCTACTTATTTTAAAGAAAATGCGCACTTCTTGGTAGAGTTCAAAGAATTTAATCTCACTTCCTGGATCGAAGTACTTTGCCTGTGCTACACTGAAGAAGTGATAGTAAATGCCATCTATTTATTGCCACTTAATTATCAAAATCCAGGCAGAAGGACTGCAGGGGACAGGCTGGGCTGTCAAATTCAGTTCCTTACTTCTGTAGATACTGTATCATACAATCCCCGTGGTAAAAGTAATGATCTCTAAATGATAAATCCGTAAATGATCCAGCTCATTTTAAAAACAGGAAGGCAGCATGCAGTTTGCCCTTTCACGGTTCCCATTTCTGAATCTGCTGTGAAGACGGGAACCTTCTCCTAACTTTTAAGGCTGTTCAGAGATAACACGAGCCACTTCTATCATGCCAAGACTGCTTCATTATAAAAGCTATTAAAAAAAAAAAGTACTATTTGGTGGGAAGGTGCATCGAACCTGGCACGATTCCAAAACAATTTGTTTTCAACTCAGTAGAATGCTCCTTCCCAGTTGCTGCTAACTGACACTCACAAGCCCACACACACACACACACACACAAATCTTGTGCATTAAAGCCTGAGCACAAGAATAACAGGGCCAGAGGATGCTGGCACTAAATCACTACTACTTTTTTTTTTTTTTTTTTTAAATGAATGGAATAACTTTTGGGTTTCTGGGGATTTTCATCCTGACACCAAAAAAAAAAAAAAAACCCTTTTCTGAAGAAGTCAAAACCTTTTTTTCAATCATGTTTCCGTAGGAGACTAGATACTACATTACATGCATCAAATTATCTCAACTGTATTAGCTATCCTCATAGCTAAGAGTAAGGATTAGAGGGAAGGTCCTTATGAACATGGGCCATGACTAATGGAGCAGCAGCATGGTAAGTGCTCGAGAAGTAAAGAAGGGTGAAATAAATCATTAATA